TTAAAATTCTAACATGGCTCCGAGGCTTTGGGGAATAAAACAAAAGAAATTAATTATTCATCACTCAACCTCAATGCGATTTCTTTTGTTTTATTCCCCCAAGCCTCGGAGCCAAGATAGAATTTTAATGCATCGAAAATGGTCTATTGAGTGAAGTGCTTATTGATATGTTTAACGTTGTGAAAAAAGATTTAGAACTGTTTTGTATAGGAAGGCGCTTGCTACAACAAAAGGAAACGTTTACAATTATCGGTGGTTTGTTGTTCACTTGCTGACGTTTACTATTTATGCCACAATGAAAACTCCCGTGTAAGAACCAACATTTCTTGAAGTCTGACAAAATAGGTTCTTGTATTTTGGGGTAGGCTAAGTAGGTTCTTGCTTAGGTTCTTAATTTCTAAGAAGGAGATATAGTTGTTGATTTCCAGAGAAATAAATAAACTTGTATCTATTCACAACTGTAAAATGTGTTTTCTTGTAATATAAATTTGCAATCTCAAAGTCACATCACTCGGTTAAGGTGGCTCCATAGGGTAATTATTTATGGCGTTGCGCGCGCAAGTGTTATGTTTTGAATGCTGTTTTTGCATTCGCTTTCACACCCAGTCCTTTCAAACTTATTACATGTAATAACGAATGATTAAATAGCGTTTTGCTATCATCTCTGTTAAAATTTGGGGCTTTAGTCTTGAATTATAAACGCCCAAACAAATGCGTTTTTTTACTGTTTGTGTGGCTTTATTTGTGATTTTCTTGAATTTTCGTGAAATCTTCCAGAATTTTTACAACACATCGCTTCCAGCGGGATACGAATTTTAAACACGAAAAAAGTAGGGTTTGTAAAGGAAGTTTTTTCCATTTTTTTCAAATTTACGTCTTTTACCGCTGCAAAAAATCTGCTCTTATAGATTTCCCTGAAAAACGAGCTCCGACTGAAGTAAAATATTTACTACCAATCTGCCAAATTTCACGGAATTTCACCGAAGGAAACGCGAGAAAATTCACTGTCAGTTTTGCTTTTTGTGCTCATGTTGACGTCAGAAAATACCCAAAATCACTGACATTTCCCTTCGAGCGCGCTCAAATTACTTGAGCTTTCGTCCCCAGCGCGCGTGCGATCGTAAAACTATAAGGAGTCACCTTAAGAAGGTTTATCATAATTTAGCTGTAACCCACATAAAAGAACTTGCTTCATCTTGCTTGGCTAAACAGGTTCTTATACTTTCAATTAAATCACCAGGTTCTTACACGAAGGTTTTTACTGTTTCTGAGTAACCTTGTTTCGACTTTCAAAATTAAAAAGTAAGAAAACTTTTCTGTGAAAGCTCCGTTCGAAAGAGCCCAGTTAAACCTTGTCAATTTTACTGTATTAAAAGCTAAAAGCAATCACGGTTGATCAATAATCATACGCACCTCATCAAAATTTTTGTCCCAGTTTTCGTTGGTTATGACAAAGTCCACAGTGTCGCTCATGTAATCCTCAACAGTTCTAACAGAGGAAAATAAGACAACTAATGTATCTCAACGCAGTGACGGAAACGAGACAAAAGGGGCGGAGACAAGACAAAGAAGGAAAATTCGATTACAATAAAATAAACAACAAATTATACCCTCGTTAAAAGCACTTTCAAATCAAGTCACCTTGTTAGAAATCTTGTAATTTTATCATTTCACTCGTCTTTTC